CCAGGCAGGACGACGGCCGCCGAGGGCGGCGGGCGCTGCCAGGGCGCGGGCGTCGGCCCTGCGCCAGCGCTGCGAAGCCCGCGAGCGCCGCCGCCGCCGCCGCCGCCCCCCCACGCTGCGAGGCGCGGCGCATGCTGCGGCGCCCCGCTGGGAGCCATCGCGGAAGCCCAAATGTGTACGGAATGATTCCCTCTCTCGCTGCCAGATTGGCACGCACGAACGCGCCGCTCTGAAGTACGTTCGTGCAAGACCCCCCTCTCCTCAGGAAGAGCCCAGAACGGCTCTCCTCCTCCTCCTCCTCCTCCTCCTCCTCCTCCTCCTCCTCCTCCCCTCCTCCCCTCCTCCCTCCTCCCTCCTCCCTCCTCCCTCCTCCCTCCTCCCTCTCCCTCCTCCTCCTCCTCCTCCTCCTCCTCCTCCTCCCTCCTCCTCCTCCTCCTCCTCCTCCTCCTCCTCCTCCTACTCAGTAGCAGCAGCATCCACCTCATCGCCAGCATCACCATCATCGCCGTCCCCTTTCTTTGGGGGCAAGGAGCTGCGCGTTGCCATTTCTCGCGCAGAGGCCGGTCACAGGCGCCCCAAGGGCCGACGCCTGCAGCCCACGCGTGCCAGCCCGAAGCAGCAGGTGCAAGCACGAGCAGATGCTGGTGTTGGGGCGTGGAGGCCGCCGGCGCCCGTGGCAGTGGTTGTGTGCTGCGCTCGCGCGCACGCGTGGCGGGCAACCGCCGAGAGCTGGAAAAAGTAGCAGCGCTCTGGTTTTCCCAATGCAACGTCTAGGCTGAATTGCACGCCCTGCCCGCGGAACTACCTGCGGGGGCGCCTCTTCGGGGCGCCGGTCTTGGGGCCTGTGAGCACCCAGGGCCAAAAACGGCTAATACGGAGAGGCACGCAACAGAATTATGATACAACATTGTGCTGATCTGTATCTTGGGATGCGCCTGGATCGGCTGGCGTTTTTGCTACGAATACATGCTATGTGCAATGCTCCTTGTTTTTTGTTGGCTCCACCAACCGTCCCCAACCTCCAACCATGAATTGTTTGCTCTACCCTGCGGTCTGAGCCGACACAGGTCTCGAGTCCAGTTGCCATGCCACTCGCACGGATACTTCTACCCCTTGATTCCGAAAAGCTTGAGAGATTAAATCTCGACTCGAACTTGATGTTATGATCCTGCGCTCTGCCCTGAAGCCCCCCTTGTTTCCACACGGGGTGGTAAGGGAGGACCAACCAGAAGGCTGTTTTCAGGCGTTCCTCGCTGCCTGTACGCGGGGTTCGAGGAGCGGGGCAACCTATGGGAGGAAAAAGAGACTCTAGGTGATGCAAAAACGATCGTGGGGCATTGTACCTCTCCAGCCGTGCTATGAATGTGTGCGACGGGCTTGTATAAATGCATCGGCGTCGCTGCTGCGCCTGGCTAGGCGCCTAATTTCAGCTTTCGACCACGAGCAATGCACCGAGACGGGGTGGGCGGACGAGAAGGACAAGGGGATGCTGAGGGACGTGCTCTTGAAGTGCGGTCGGTAATCCAGCCGGCCTGACTTTCGCCATCCGCCCCCCTTATGTACGAAGGTGTCCAAGAACGATACACCTGTAGTGCTTGTTCCCTCCAGTTTGTGTGTGTGTAGAAAGAGCTTCTGTCACGCATAACCTTCCACAAATCGGTTGTCCTCACCCCTCGGCGTTCCAAGATATTGAACATGTCGTCCTTGAAGCGGCCGTAGTATTTGATGCCGTAAAATTGTCTGAATGCTGTTTTCCCTACTTTGTATTTCTCCACAATGCTGTAATATGCGCTGTCTGCCGTTTCTCCAGAAAACGGCAGGCCCATCCCAGAGCCTCGGGCTACGCGCCACATGCGGTCTGGCGCCCACTTGCACTCCACGTATTGGTTGTTCAAGAGGAATCGTAAAGCTTTCCCCATTGCGCCTTTCAGGCAGCTCTCAGGGATAATGGCGGCCGCGTTATGGGCGAGAATATCGGGGAGACCCTCCACGAAGAACTCTTCCACGTCAACTTTCACCAACATGTCTGTGTCAGTGACGGGGATCTGGGAGATCTGCCGCAAGAAATGGTCCGTGTCCTTGAGGAGGGAGGGTACGTCATCAAGGTATGTTCGGAGCGTGTCTTTTACCCAATGCCCTAGGCCACTCAAGGAAAATGACGGCGCAGCATGAATATTCCGAAACGTTACTTGCCCAGCTGGCTTGAGCGTTTTGCATGCGAATTTGACCTTCGCTACCGCGTAGACCCTTGAGGTGCCAACATGATGTCGAAAGTCTTGCAACCGATTGTTTCCGCAACGTGTTTACATATGTGGAAATAATATTCTGCGAGGTGTCTCCTGTTAAGGTCTACAGGGTGCATTTCGTCGCACCACCTGCAATCCAGAATGCTCTCAGCGATCTGATGCATATCTCCTCGGCGGACCAAACAATACCCCCCATCTTTGTCAGTGGGGACTGCCGTGAATTCAGATTGCCTGAGGAGCTGCACCGCCCATTTGTCCAATGCCGATGCGTTGGAAAAATCACTCCCTTTATGCCGCCATCGGCTCAATGCTGACCTGGCTTGGGAAGACACTACATGTTTGAATATTTCACTCCACGTCTTTAAACAAGGGTCTAATGGAAAAGGACATTCTGGAGTTGACGTGGAAAGTCGTCTTCTGCGTCTGGCGCCGCCAGCGTCACCATTGATGAAGAAATGGTGCTTCCACTGAAGCTTGCGCGCGACGTTCTGGGCAGCAACGTTCACGAGCTTCGGGTCGGGAAGACTACGGGGGAGAAGGCGCTGTTTTTTTGTGGTAGCGTGTGAGGAAGAATTCAAATGGCCATGGGATTTCAGCAAATGATGGGTGTCGTACCGATTTGTCACTGACACTATACATGTACACTGAATTGTAAGCAGACTCCGAATCCGCTATCCATGCATAATCTTCTTTAGAACATCCCTTTGTCAGTTCCAAGAATAACGATACTCCCTTGTCCTCCAGGTTCCTCCTAGCTTTCCTTCAAGCTTCCATCCTTGCTTTTTTCTTCTGTCACCGAGAGGGTTCGGTGTCCATCCCTTCTTCCACTTCCAGTAGGCAGTCTTGCCGTAACGGCGGTTGTTCCCAAGCTGGTTCCATTTCTTCCACCGGGCTGCCCCGGTGGACGCCCCGTTTTTTGGAATCTCTCTGAACTCGTACTTTGCCGCCTTCCACCAATTCAATTGTGATTTGGTTCTGCGACGGCGCTTCGAGCCGTCCTCCGCGTCGTGAGGTTTGCTCTTCCCATGTCCTTTGCCCTTGCCTTTCCCTTTCCCCTTGGGTTCTCCTTTGCCTTTTCCGTTGTTTTTACCTTTGCCTTCTTTGCCTTTGCCTTTACCTTTGTGTGTGAATGTGTACGCGTCGCTGCCAGTCGCCCCTCTGACGCATTCGCCGTCAGGGTCGCCAGTAATCTTGCCGACGTAGTTCACGACTTTGTCCAACGGTACGTTCACATGGCCTCCCATCTCTTTTACTGCCTGGGCCACCGCCCGCTTGAAGATGTCACCTGGCTGGGCGGTAGACAGTTTCTCCACGGCTTTTTTGTCTTGCCTGCTCTTGTTTCTTCTGTGCTTGAATTTCGCGGTCTACACGTTCCGCTATGTTTTCGAGGATGTCTTTGAATATGTCAGTGGCCTCCGTCTTGGTGATACTGGAAGAATCGAACAATCCAGGAGGTACTCCAACATTCAACCGATCTAATTTGGTTTGGTGTGTCTTCGCGGTGGCGGTGACGTCAGAGATGAACGAGTCGTAGCTCACAATGCTCGTGATGGCTGCTTCCTGGTGCCGCATCATCTCCAAATCCACGCACTTGTTGAGCTTGATAAACTGCGTGTGCAAATACAATTTGATATCACGCCACGTTTTACCCTGAAGATGCATCAAGTTCCATTCCGTTAGCTTCGTTTCGTCGGATACCTCATCGAGGGTCGGGACATCGACAAGAATCTTGAAGGGCTTCGTGCCGGCAGGCCAGCCGCCACCCTCGATGATCTTGAGGTCCTCTTCTATCTTCTCGATCTTCCGCTCGAGTCGAAGGCGCTTCTCAATTTGTTCCCCAAAGCGTTTCGCAATTATGTGGACATCTTGCCTAATTGGTTCAGGAAGTTTCGGCTTCACTCTGTGAATAATAGGACTGTACATGTCTGTTCTTGGAGTCTTTGCACGCGGCTCCCATTCATCAAAAGAATCTTCTATTAGATCGTCAAGAAAATTCCTACCTCCGCTTCCTGTCGCCATGCCCGCACACGTGTGCAACAGCCGCAATGCACTGACTTTGAAGAATACGGTATCCCTCTGGTTTTCCCAATGCAACGTCTAGGCTGAATTGCACGCCCTGCCCGCGGAACTACCTGCGGGGGCGCCTCTTCGGGGCGCCGGTCTTGGGGCCTGTGAGCACCCAGGGCCAAAAACGGCTAATACGGAGAGGCACGCAACAGAATTATGATACAACATTGTGCTGATCTGTATCTTGGGATGCGCCTGGATCGCCTGGCGTTTTTGCTACGAATACATGCTATGTGCAATGCTCCTTGTTTTTTGTTGGCTCCACCAACCGTCCCCAACCTCCAACCATGAATTGTTTGCTCTACCCTGCGGTCAGAGCCGACACAGGTCTCGAGTCCAGTTGCCATGCCACTCGCACGGATACTTCTACCCCTTGATTCCGAAAAGCTTGAGAGATTAAATCTCGACTCGAACTTGATGTTATGATCCTGCGCTCTGCCCTGAAGCCCCCCTTGTTTCCACACGGGGTGGTAAGGGAGGACCAACCAGAAGGCTGGTTTCAGGCGTTCCTCGCTGCCTGTACGCGGGGTTCGAGGAGCGGGGCAACCCGAACTTCGCCCGGATTCCGGGTTGGGGGGGGTACGAGCTTCACGTGCTTTTTCAATGTTCTCCGACCCCCCCCCACCGGAACTGAGGGGCAAATCGGGGCCTTCGGGTTGGGTTGGGGCGGTTTGGTGGGCGGTGAGCCTCTGCGTGGTGAGCCGCCGCCGCAGCGCGGCGCTGCCGCCGCAGGTGTCGTGCAGGCGCTCCAGCGGGGCGCTCACGCCAGCGCGGGGCAGCAGGGCCCCGAGGAGCCCGGGCGCCAGCTCGGCGAAGGCAGGCGGCACGCCCAGCCTCCTCCTCCTCCTCCTCCTCCTCCTCCTCCTCCTCCTCCCTCCTCCCTCCTCCTCCTCCTCCTCCTCCTCCTCCTCCTTCCTCCTCCTCCTCCTCCTCCTCCTCCTCCTACTCAGTAGCAGCAGCATCCACCTCATCGCCAGCATCACCATCATCGCCGTCCCCTTTCTTTGGGGGCAAGGAGCTGCGCGTTGCCATTTCTCGCGCAGAGGCCGGTCACAGGCGCCCCAAGGGCCGACGCCTGCAGCCCACGCGTGCCAGCCCGAAGCAGCAGGTGCAAGCACGAGCAGATGCTGGTGTTGGGGCGTGGAGGCCGCCGGCGCCCGTGGCAGTGGTTGTGTGCTGCGCTCGCGCGCACGCGTGGCGGGCAACCGCCGAGAGCTGGAAAAAGTAGCAGCGCGGGGCCCGACCACAAGAAACCTTCCACAGGAAGCCCAGCCATGAGACCCCAGGGCGTCCAGCGATTTTTGGTGTGGGAACGTCACGCCCTCCATGGCAAGATCATCGACACCCAGAAGCCCCTAAACCAAGGACTGAGGGGCTCTACGAAACCGAAAGCAGTAACCCTGCGAGAATAATCCCGCAGAGATAAAGAAACTTCGGGGCCCAGGACGAATCATTCTTTTCTCCCGGATATAATCAGATATAAGGGGTTGAGGGGGGGATTATTGATTATCGTCGGCATGCGGTGAACGGGCCACTAAGTCGGAATATGCCCGACTGGGCCCCAGACTCCGCTTTATTTGGCGGGCTGATCACAAGATTAAACCCAGATTAGCCCAGGACAAGGCTCGACCAAAACAATGATTTCCGCGTTCGTGGTGTGTCCGTGTTCCATCATTCCGTCTTCGTGCCGCCCTCGCTGCAAAACGAACTCAAACCGATGACGGCCCGCGAACTCGCCCAAACGCCCTTGGGGTCGAGCCCCGGCCCAGGATTCCTGCCTGGGCCAGGGCCGGGAGCTCTGTGTTGGCGCGTCGCGGCGGCGGCCCGGGCGACACGCACAGCGCCTCCCCGTGCCCCGCGGGGCGAAGGGCTCGGAGCGCCGAGGCTCGGGGCGCCGAGGCGTGGCCCGCGTGTCGCTCCGGAGCGCGCGGGGCCCGGGCCGGAGGAGCGCGGCCGCCGAGCCAACGCTCCCGAGCCTCCATATACGGCCGCTCCGGGGAGGCCCCCCCGGGGGAACGACGACGGCCGGGGGCCCGACCACAAGGAGCCTTCCGCCAGAAGCCCGGCCCTGAGACCCCAGAGCGTCCACCGATTCTCGGTGTGGGAGCGTCACGCTGTCCACAGCAGAGCCGTCGAAACCAGAGACACCCAGGGCCCCCTGGAGGCAAGCGGGGCGCTTCTTGGCAGGCGTCTCCACTGTAGGAGCTTCTGGGCAGGTGGAATGGCCTTTAGGCCAGATCATGCCGGGGCTGACTGGTCGGGTTCAAGCCGGGTGAGGCGGCACGAAACCGGGCACTGACGACCATCCTCGAGTCGGGCATGGCCTCCTACAGGCGAAATCTCGAAGAAACATGGAAAGCAGTGCGAAAGAATCGAAAATATTCCAAGTACGAATTGAATCGCCCCCGGACAGCTTCATGTTTGTACTATGCTTGAACGTCCCTCCTGTAGAGGGACATGCCCGACTCGACGGCCCCAGGGGGCCGCGGAAAGGCAGCCACGGCACCAGGAACGTATAGCACAAAACCCTGCCGCCGCTGCACATCTGCGCCGCCCAGATATCATGCGGCCACCCCCCTCCCACGCATCCTCCGCTGTGACATTCGGCGGCGAGCGAGGGGGGAAGAGAGGAGGAGAAGGCCTTCTCAGATGGCGGCGGGACTGCTCGGAAACCCCCTCGCGCCTTCCGGGAATGCCTAGAACACTTCTCAGAAGGCCGGGGGACTTCCGAGCCTTCTGGGATGAACGTGGGAATGTATAAGTGGATAGGGGGGTTACAAGTGGATGCCGAGGTGGGTTATATCTGACCCACCCTGGCTCATATGTGGGCTACAAATGCCCCAAGCAGCTTAGAGGGGTCAGATAACTCCGCTAAGTGGGCGGAGCCCACTCAGCCCGGATCGTTAACCCTCCTGAGCCACTTGGGGCATGTGTAACCCACTTCGAAGCCAGGCTGGGTCAGTTATAGCGCACCTCAGCATCCCCTTGTAAACCCCCTTAGTAGAAAGTTGACTTGGTGAGTGTACTTCTGGATAAGCACCCACAGGGCCTAGCCTAGCTAGGCGTCTGGTTGGTTGTTGCCGGGAACGTCACCGCCCCCATGGTACCTGCTGTCGAGAATCGCCTTGGAAGCCCCCTGTCCACTTAGAACCCCCGACGATCATCCCAGTTCTGAAAAGGCCCGCCCCGTCTCACTTCCCCCCCCCCCAGGCTCGCCACTGAGACGCGTTCCCCGATCCGCGGCCCCCGAACGCCCGACCTCTTCGCAGCGGGGCAGCTCGTGTTGCCTCCCGGATCCGCGAGTGGCCCCCGGGGCCGACGTGGCAGAGAAGATCTAGACTGGACCTACAGCAATCGAACAACTGAAACATAAAAATACAAACTATGACAGCAACAACAGCAATAACCACAACCACAACCACAGCAACAACAGCACCAACACCAGCAATACAGCAACAACAACCACAGCAACAACAGCACCAACAACAGCACCGACAACTGCACCAACAACAACAGTAATAACCACAGCACCAACAACAGCACCAACAAGAACAGCAGCAACAAAAACATCATCAACCATAGCAACAACAACAACAACAACAACAATCATTTAAGACTGGGGACACTCCGTTCTCACCAGTGCCAGGGTTTTCATAGGAGGCGGGCAATACCCCCACTTTGTGGGGGGGCCGGTTCAAGCTCTACCAAATTTCCAAACGACTCTTCGCCACCACCCACACCCAGCTTCCCGCCCTATGACGTTCGGACACTTCACTTCGTGGCATGCGGACGACCGTGGCTACTATTCAGGGCCCCGCGGCCGACGACGACGGCGTGCGCGCGCGAAGAAAAAACGAATGTGTCCCGCATGGTATTATTTGACAGGGATGATGGCCCTGGCAGGTGCGCAACCGTTGTCGCAGAAGTTCGAAAAAGTTGCTCGCAAAAGCCCGTTTGACAGAAATGTTTAAAAAGTGTTGGGTTTCCTACGAATCCGCAAGAGCGCGCGGGATGAGATTTTGACATTTTTTTGTTGAAAAACCATTGGTTTTTTGATGTTTTTATGTTAAAATCGCTCCGAACACTAAGCTTTTGGAAGGATTTCGTCTTGCGCGCGCGAATGTCCACTTTACCTTATTTTTTGCAAGGGATTCTTGAAATTTGATTATATTAGAACAAGAAATGTCATTTTATAGTGTTTTTTGCAAGGGAAAACGGATTACAACAAAACAACCGGATCTGGACCCCATCCACTTTTCTGAAGCTTTCGCGAAAAAATGATGAAAATGTAGCTGCGGCCTAGGCGCGGCGGGGGGGCCGTGCACCAGGGGTCCCAACAATAATTATTCTTTAGAATTAATAATGTTCAACAACAACAACAACAACAACAACAACAATAACAACAACAACAATAACAACAGCAACAACAACAATAGCAACAACAATACACCAACAACTCTCGTCGGAGGTCGAGGCCATCGACCTCTTGTCCGTGCCCCTGCTCACGGCAGAACTCTTCGAGGGGGCGGAGCGTGGGCATGGGTAAAAATCCAGTCTCTGGAGGCGAAATCTTTTGTCTATGCCTGCCCCCCCGCCCCCCTGGCAGCGAGAGTGGGAGCAGCAGGCAGCAGGGCATGGATCGAACGCTGGTCCTCGAGAGGTCTGAGCTTTGGGGGACCAGAATGCACCGATACGGCTAGTTTCCCCGGACCTCTCCTGGGGCGCGTTGTGACCAGAATTTTGAGGCGAATCCAGCGGTGGCGACGAAGGCCCCCCAGGAGGCCCACAAAAGCGACAACGAGGCAAGGATACTAGTGGTACGGCACCTCTTCCTCCTCTGAGAGTCGCTGCGCGCGCCGCCAGGAAGGGGAACTCCGCCGTGGAGTACGCCACGCGGGCCTCGCAGAACGGTTCCCCGGGGGGCGGCGCGGGTTTCCCAGCGTCCATCGCGGAACCGGGCCCCAGGGTGGAGCCGCGGCTGCTCGCCGCGCGCGCGCGGGCCGGGCATGCTCGGGCCCAGCGGCGCGGCCGCGCGCAAAAACGGCTCCAAAACGACTGACTTAATCGAAACAACAGAAGCAAACAAAAACAAAAACCAAAGCCAAAGAGGGCTCCAAAGCCAAGAAGGGCTCCAAAGCCAAAACGGGCTCCAAAGCCAGAAGTGGTCCCAAAGCAGCTCGAGGCAGCAGAAGACTGGTGGCACGGAACTGCTTCACGAGCGCACCTCGAGAGTAGGGCGGCGCCGATCTCAGGCCCTTCGAGGATGCAGACCGAGGCGCTCGATCGCGCCGGCGCGCGCGGTGGGGCTTCGGGCTGCGCACGGGCGGCCCCCCCCTGGGATGACCGTGGGGGGTTCTAAATGGATAGGGGATTACGCGTGGATGCTAAGGTGGGTTATATCTGGCCCAACCTGGCTTATAAGTGGGTAAGGAGCGCCCCGAATGGCTTAGGGGGGCTAGATAACTCCGCTGAGTGGGCGGAGCCCACTTAGCCCGGATCGTCAACCCCCCTAAGCTACTTAGGGCACTTGTAACCCACTTATAAGCCAGGTTGGGCCAGGTATAACCCACCTCAGCATCCACGCGAAACCCCCCTATCCACTTAGAACCCCCCACGGTCATCCCAGTGCCGCTCTGGGGAGGGGGTCGGGAGCTCCGGGGCTCGGGCCAGCGTGCGCAGCGCGCGGGGGGGAAGCGTGTGCCTGCGCGTGGGCCGGGCGCGCGTGCCCCGACCTCTGGCGACGCGTGCGTGCGCGTCGCTGTCCGATCGCGCCGCTTGGTCCTTCCCTGCGGCTCGCGGGGAAGCACTTCGTCGGCCCCCCGCAGCGTTTTCCTCCGACGAGCCGTTTCTCTTCCAATCGCGACGCCTTGTCTCTGTCGTCTCGCCCCATCGCTCGGACGCTGATTTTTTCTCATAAGATGGTCTACGATGCTCCGCGATGGTCCACGCCGAAAGGATGCACACGTCAGTGCGATGCCAAGTCGTTTCGGCTCCCGAGGGCAGCTACAGAAGCGGCGCGCGCGGGCGAGGGCTCGACGACGGCGGCGCCTGGGAGTGCGCGGGGGCCTGGAGACGCAGGGGGGCCCTGCCACGAGAAGCATCGGAGAAGGGGCGAGAGAGGGGGGGGGCTTTTCAGGCGGCGGAGGCGACGGCGAGCCGCTCGGCCACGATCAGGGAGGGGGGCTCGGACGCCAGAGCCCCCCTCCCCGGAACCCCGGCGGAGCGGCCCGAGCACCAGAGCCCCTTGTCTGGACCTAGAGAGCGATCCTCGTCGGCGTCTCGACTGCTCCGGTTGGCCCACGACGGGGTCCGGATGAGAGGGAGCAGTGCAGTAGTCGCGGGGCAATGGTACTGCAAATGTGCTGCGCCAGAGAATTGCGTTGCACTGTGTTGCAGCCAATGCACTGCACGCGAAGATCAAGCAACACATTTGCGCACCGGAATGTACGGCGCGCCCCAGGCCTACTGCGACCCCTCAAACCTATGGCACCAAATCTATTGCATGACCCCCTTCCAGCTGAACCCCCCTCTGGGTCAACCAGAACTGCAGGCCCCTCCAGGCCCAGGGTCCCCAGCCTGCCCTCCCTCCCTCGAGATCCCCCCATGCAGCCGGCGGACCAGCCGCAGCGAGGTCTTCCTCACCCCCTTCGTCTGCGACATGCCGGTCGAGTCGTACACGGCCATGTCCAGGAAGCCGCCGTGGCCGGGGAAGACCTGCGCCCAGAGCAGCGCCGGAGAGCCCCCCGCCCTCGGAGCGGCGGCCAACCCCGCGAGATCTGGCGTCGCGAAGAGCTGCCGCGTCGTGCAAAAATCGCCACCGGAGCCCTGTGCTGGGATGACCGCGGGAGTTGCCAAGTGAATACGGGGGATGCAAGTGGACGCTAGGGTCGGCAATGCCTGGCCAAACCTGGCTTATATATCAGCTCGAATACCCCAAGTAGCTTAGGGGGGTTAGATAACTCCGCTGAGTAAGTGGAATTCGCTTAGCCTGGGTCGTTAACCCCAGTAAGCATTTGGGTGCATTTGTAACCCACGAAATATCCATTTGGGCCAGATATAACCACCACCCCTAGCATCCGCTAATAGCCCCCCTATCCACTTAGCACCCCTCACGGCGATCCCAAAAAAACCCATCATTCTGCGGCACTTTTCCAACCCAGATCGATCCGTGAGGGTCCTAGGGCCCGCGCATGCACGAAAACGCCAGGCGGGAAAAAAATGCGACGCCAGGTCCTCCCTCCACCTCTTACTCGTCCCCTTCCCCGCATCGAGGGGCCGAGGCTGCCCGTCGAATGCTTGACAAAACACAAGCTACTGCGCATGCAATCTGCTGGCAAGCCAGCCGGTCCAACAAAGAAACACTTCACGGAACTGCTGGCGCGCGGGCGCAAGAGTCTCCAAACCTATCACACCAGCAGCAGCGGCATGAGCAGCTCGCAGCCACATGTTGGCCTCGATGTCTTGCCTTCTCCTGCTCAGCGGCGGGTTCCTCTCACCCTGAACAAAATTACACCACCGAGAAACACCACAAATACTTATTCAAAGTCCGGCGTGGATAGCTCATATGACACCTTGCTGTGCTCGGAATTGCTATAGGCGTGCGTCTTTGTGACGCGGCGAAGCGTTCGGCACCGATCTCCAAGTGCCACGCCTGCGACGCCGTGCGGCCCTGGCACGCACAGCGCCCCGATACCCTGCGCAACCCCTGCGTCATGCAGAATGTACCGCGCCTGCCACGCCCCGCGACCACTGCCAGGCGTAGAGAGAAAATGTCATGCCACGCCTGCCACGCTTTGCGACGTGGGCGCGCGTAGCGCCACGGCTTCCTGCGGACCTCCGCTGGTGTAGAGAAAGCGCCTCGTCTTCCGCGCTTTGCGACGTTGGCACGCGTAGCGAAAACAAAAAACGTTCCTCCTTTCTCCATCCTCCCTCCTCCCTTGTCCGCTCCGCACTGATCCCTCCCCCGCCCTCCACATTCTCTCCTCGCTCCTCCCTTCTCGCCACCGTGCCCCCTGGCACGTGCAGGCGCGGCAGAATGCCAAGTGCTGTCTGGTAGGGCTTTCGAAATATTCGGAAGGACCCCCTCCACTAGCCGTGCCCCCTCCCGTGCATCGCCTCTACTCTTAGGTTGGGCGTGTCCTCTCACAGGGGAATGTGGCAGACAAATAAAACATAATCAACAATTGCTCAAAAATCGTCAAAAGTGATCCCGGCAAAGCAACCTAACAGCGATATGTAGAAGCATATATCTGAAAGCATTCCCCTTAAGATTCAGATGACAATCCAGTTGTAGAATTCTGCTGTTCTCGCAGTCGTAGTCGCATTCGCGATGACAGTCGCAGCGGCAACGGCAGTCGCAGTCACAGCCTCAGCCTGCCTCAGCCTCAGCCTCAGCCTGCCTCAGCCTCAGCCTGCCTCAGCCTCAGCCTCAGCCTGCTTCAGCCTCAGCCTCAGTCTGCCTTCAGCCTCGGCCTCAGCCTCAGCCTGCCTCAGCCTCAGCCTGCATCAGCCTCAGCCTCAGCCTCAGCCTGCCTCAGCATCAGCCTGCTTCAGCCTCAGCCTCAGCCTGCCTCAGCCTCAGCCTCAGCCTCAGCCTGCTTCAGCCTCAGCCTCAGTCTGCCTTCAGCCTCGGCCTCAGCCTCAGCCTGCCTCAGCCTCAGCCTGCCTCGGCCGCAGCATCAGCCTGCCTCAGCATTCAAAATGTGGCCCAGGAATGGAGTTCTGGGAACTAGAAGAACACGAAGTGGCCTACAGTTGGCTCCGGGCATTCAAAATCATGCCCAGGAATGGAGTTCTGGGAACTTGAAGAGCACGAAGTGGCCTACAGTTGGCTCCGGGCATCCAAAATGTGGCCCGGGAATGGAGTTCTGGGAAATCGAAGAGCACGAAGTGGCCTACAGTTGGCTCCGGGCATCCAAAATGTGTCCCGGGAATGGAGTTCTGGGAAATCGAAGAGCACGAAGTGGCCTACAGTTGGCTCCGGGCATTGAAAATGTGGCCCGGGAATGGAGTTCTGGGAGGTCGAAGAGCACGAAGTGTGTGACTGTTGACGAAAAGCGAGCCCGGCTCTGTTCCCGGTTCTCCAGAAAGTTGCCCGGGAATAAAATTCTGGGAGGTCGAAGAGCACGAAGTGTGTGACTGTTGGCGAAAAGCGAGCCCGGCTCTGTTCCCGGTTCTCCAGAAAGTTGCCCGGGAATGGAGTTCTGGGAGGTCGAAGAGCACGAAGTGTGTGACTGTTGGAAAAAAACGATTCCCGGTTCTCCTCCCCGGCACCCGCCCAGAACCCCCTGAGGAGTCATGATGCTCTCTTTTGACCCTACTAGAAACCTATCAGCAAACGCTGTTAGGTAATAATTTAAAACATCGTCCACATATGATTTTCCTATTTTGGTAGATTCCTCCTCTAGAGGGGCAGGCCCGACTTAACCCTACTCCCGGGGCCACGATCCCTCGTACCCAAAACCCTGGATCCGCGCTAGCGTCCACGATCCTTCGTAAAAAGCAATGCGTACGCGCCCCGAGCTTTCAAGACGGCCCAGGCAGGCAACCAAAGCAACAAAGCTAGCCCAGGATGCCTCGAAGCCTACCCAAGATGGCCCAACGTCGGCCTAACATAACTTCAACACGGCCTAAGATGCATGTGCATGGAAGAGAGCCCACAATGGTCACAAGAGGATCCCCAAAATGGTCCGAAGAAACTAAAGTCAGTGACGGCCTCAGAAGACCCTTCAACGGCCCAAGACTGCGCCACGACGGCCCCACGATGCTCTTCGGACACCCACTATACGGCCACGGGAGCCCAATGACGGCCCAAAAGATCCCCAAAACGGTAAGAGAACAAAGTGGTCCAAAACACTCCGAAGGGACCCCAAGACAACGAAGGTAAAGACAGCCCCAAGACGCCCCACTGGAGCGCATTCTGAGCTCCCTAGACAGTAGAAACGAAAAGTGACACATGTGACTGCCTTGCTCTTCCATCTTACCCTGGTTCTCCACGGAGACGTTGGAGCGGGTAGATCGTCACACTCGATACCAGGCCTCGCCCACGACTGTTGCCGAGCGAATCGCCCTGTTTAGAGCTCGCTTACCTCCCCGGTGCACGCTCTCCCGCATAACGAAAATAAAACAGTCTCGCTGCCGCGGTCTCGGCAGACTGGGCCACCTGCCAGCGCCTATCTCGCCCATGGGGTGCCTCTCTCCCGCCTCCCCGCAGCAGCCACGCACTGCGGGAGGCGTCGCGCAGCACTTCGGGCGGGGGGACTGCAGCCCCGCGCTCCCCTCGGGAGGAAACGCTGTCTTGAGCCGCCCCGGCTTCGCCGTCCTTCCGCCGGCCTCCGCCATCCGAACGCGCCCTCGTCGTGCTTGCGCCGGTGTCCGCCGCCCCTCCGCCACCTCTCCCGCCGAGGAAGAGACGCCGGCTTCTCATGTCTTCAGAGGCGAGGCCCTTGCACAAGCGTCTGGTCGAGATCAAGCTGGAGCCAAAGCACAGGCAGGATGATAAGTGCAGAGGGAACGGATGGTCATCAAGATCGGCCCCAGATCGATTGCGGCTGGGCGCTGCAGAGCTGGCTTGCCTCACCGATCACCGTGCCAATCAGCAAGGTCAACGAGGTGTCCGGCCCTATCAGGTCCTCCATGCTCAGGGCGGTATCGCGTGTGCCCCAAGCCTCGAGGTCCTGCAGGTAGTAAGCCATATTGCAGAAGGCAGAGGGAGAGAGATAGAGAGAGAGAGAAAGAGAGAGAGAGAGAGAGACTGAGAAATATCTTGGACAGACATGTCATCCTGCAAACGGGCCGCGATGTTTCCCCATGCACTTCCCTCGCAGGCGCATTGAGATCGATGATTGGGGGAAACGATGCCTGAAGGAGGAGGAGGAGGAGGAGGAGGAGGAGGAGGAGGGGAGGGGGAGGAAGGAGGGAGGGGGAGGAGAAGGAGGAGGTTGAGGAGGAGGAGGAGGAGGGAGGAGAAGGGGGAGGAGGAGGAGGAGGAGGAGGAGGAGGAGGGAGGAGGAGGAGGAGGAGGAGAAGAGGGAGGAGGAGGAGGAGGAGGAGGAGGAGGAGGAGGAGGGAGGAGGGAGGAGGAGGAGGAGGAGAGGAGGAGGAGGAGGAGGAGAGGAGGAGGGAGGAGGGAGGGGGAGGGAGGAGGAGGAGGAAGGAGGAGGAGGAGGAGGAGGAGGAGGAGGAGGAGGAGGAGGAAGGAGGAGGAGGAGGAGCAGGAGGAGAGGAGGAGGAGAAGGAAAAGGAGGAGAAGGAGAGGAGGAGGAGGAGGAGGAGGAGGAGGGAGGAGGAGGAGAGGGAGGAGGAGGAGGGAGGAGGGGGAGAGGAGGAGAAGGAGGAGAAGGAGGAGGATGAGGAGGAGGAGGAAGGAGGGAGGGGGAGGAGGGGGGATGGGGAGGAGGAGGAGGAGGAGGCGCCGCAGCTGATCGGAAGCGAGTCCGCGACCGAGAGCTTAACCCATCAGAAGAACATGGAGTGGCGATCGCAGCTGGCGAACACCGTGTGGGGGGAGGTGGGGAGGGACGGCGGTCCTGCAACGCAATGCGGCGAGACCCCCTACCGTCCCCCACTGCCACCACCTCCCGCCCCCGCCAGCGGCAGCGCCTCCAGGAAGTCCAGGCGAACGTCCATGGGCTCGGCGGCGGGGTCGTCCGTATCGAAGCGGACGGAGGCAGAGCGCTCCCCGACGGCGACGACGGTCACCTCGAAACCCGCCAAGGGGCCTCGGCAGAGTCGCGCCCGCACGTCGGGGGCGAGGGCGGGCGGGCGTCCAGGGCCGCGGCGGCCAGGCAGCACCGTGAGGCCATCCGCCCACTCATCATTCAGCTCATCCTCGAACGCGTCCTGACCAGCAGCAGGTCCAGCAGCGACATCAGCGAGAGGGAGGCCCACAGGGGCAGGCTGCGGACGGCGCCGCCGCCGCTGCCTGCGACCGCCCCCCGTGGCGTCCTCCATCACGTGGTCCCCGCCCGCCTCGCCGCCGCCAGCACGATCTTCATCAGCCGCAGCACGACCGCGGCCCGCAGCACCACCGCCACGGCCTCCGCGCCCTCGCCGCCGCCGCCGCCGCGCGGGGGCAGCTGCAGCGCCAGGCACGGGCGCAGGCGGCTCGGCGGCAGGGCTCCGCAAGCCCGCCACCGCCGCGCGCAGACGGCCCTCCGCGGCGCGCAACAGGCGCACCCCATCGCGGGAGTGCCCTGCTGCCAGCCCCGCGGCCGCATGCGCCGCGAGGAGGGCCCCGCGGGCCGCCTCCTCGGCGCGGCGCAGGCCGGCGGCCTTCGGCGAGAGCGAACCCGGCATCGGCCACGCGGCGAGCGCGCCGAAGGCGCGGCCCAGCGGCACGGGGCAGAAGCCAAGACGGTTCTGGGGGAGGAGGAGAAGGAGGAGAAGGAGGAAGGAGAAGGAGGAGGAGGAGGAGGAGGAGGAGGAGAGGAGGAGAAGGAGGAGAGGAGGAGGAGGAGGAGGAGGAGGAGGAGGAGAGGAGGAGGAGGAAGGAGGAGGAGGAAGAGAGGAGGAGGAGGAGGGAGGAGGAAGAGGAGGAGGAGGAGGAGGAGAGGAGGAGACAAAAAAAAGGAGGAGGAGGAGGAGGAGGAGGAGGAGGAGGAGGAGGGGAAGGGGGGGAGGGGGAGGAGGAGGAGGAGGAGAATGAGGAGGAGGGAGGGAGGAGGAGGAGGAGGAGAGGAGAGGAGGAGGAGGAGGAGGAGGAGGAGGAGGAGGAGGAGGAGGAGGAGGAGGAGGAGGAGGAGGAGCCCCCCCGCGAGAGAGGCCGCTCCTGGAACAGCCGGAAGGCCGGGGTGCGCCGCTCGCCCAGGGTGAGCGGGATGCCTCCAGCCCGCGGCGAAGGGCGAGGGTTAGGAGGGCGGCGGCGGCGGCGGCGGTCAGGTCGGGCACGCACTCCAGTCCTCCCATGGGCGGACTGTGGACGAAAAATGGAGCACAGTCCGAAAAGATCCCCAAATGGTCAAACATGTTCACAAAAACAAAAGATTGTCCTCCCACAGGCGGACTGTGGACGAAACATGAAAAAGAGTCCCAACAGGTCCCCTGATGGTCACAAGTGGTCACACACGTACACACCAAAAGAAGAGAAGCAAAACAAACTCCCCAGAGCATGCTTGTACTGTGTGTTGAAGTTGCCTCCTGGAGAGGGGCACGCCCGACTCAAAGGCGACGGGGGGCGAGCACCCGGCGCTCCGACGATCTGCCTTGTGCGATCCGGCAGTCTGTCCTCGATGTCGGCCCGCGGAGGCCCTTTGTCGGGCCCTGGGGCGATTTTGCCTTGGTCCTACGACGGGAGGAGGGAAGAGGGAGGAGGGAGGCAGGATGAGGGAGGAGGGAGGAGGGAGGGGGGAGGAGGGAGGAGGGGGAGGGAGGAGGAGAGGAGGGAGGGGGAGGAGGGAGGAGGAGGAGGAGGAGGAGGGGAGGAGGAGGAGGAGGAGAGAAGGAGGAGGAGGAGGAGGAGACGGTTCCAGGGAGCAGCGCTGCCCCTTGGGCAGGGGCCGCGACCTCTGCAGGAGGACGAGGGACGAGGAGGAGGGCGAGGGATGGAGGAGGGGGGAGGGGGGAGCCAGGAGGCAGGGAGAGGGGGGGGGGGAGGGAGGCAGGAGGGAGGAGGGAGGGCGAGGGGGCGAGGGATGAGAGGAGGTGGGGGGGGAGCAGGATGAGTAGGGCTGGGGGATCATGTCTGCAGAACACCCCAAACGGACGCCAAGGGGCGCAACCAAGTTGTCCAGTCAAGCTAAAATTGATGCACCACACTGGGCGTCAAGTCAAAACTTTGGACATAAGCGAAGGAGTGGATGTTGCACATCTTCGTCGGCTTAACCAGCGAGGCGTTTGACAACCTTGACCCCCCTTTTTTGGTGGTCCTGCAGAGGAAGGCGCTCTCTGACCCTCGGCCCTTCTCAAGAGCAGGAAGAGGAAATGATGGAGAAGAGTGAGTGGGGCGAACACGACGAAGAGGCCGAGCAACAGCAACAGCAGGATCAGGAGGAGGCGAACAGCGAGGAGGTCGAGCATGAGGAGGACGAGGATAACGGGGGGAAGAAGCTCCATGAAGAGGAACAAGAGGAGGAGGAGGAGGAGGAGGAGGAGGAGGAGGAGGAGGAGGAGGAGGAGGAGGATGGGAGCACCACCAAACTGAGGGAAAAGAGGCTCCCACGCCCGACCATCATGCTGAAACGCACAGAGGAAGGGGCCAACACCAGGACCCGACGGATAACGTCTGAGCATTGTCTGAGGATGGAAGGCTCAGGGTGAAATCCATATGGGCTTTTGCACCTCGAAAATCAGTCCGTCTTGTGATTCACCTTTTGCAGATTCAAGCCTCGAACATCCATCGAAACGACATTTCAGATTTCACGTTTTGTCCTCCACCCAAAGAAAATGCTCGGAACGTGGGATCTCTGCATCTGGCGGGCCCTGATCAGTAACGGGGCGCCGCGGCCGATCTGGAGCACCCCAACACGATCTTGAGCGGACTAGCCGTGCTCCAGATTCCATAACAAAGGGGGGTGGGTCACATGTGGGGAGGGTTCTGATTCGAGCTGCCTTGGAGTTTTCGGAGGGGGTCTGGGCAAAGGGCCGCCCTTTCATGGATGGTCTGGGGGGATCTAAAACTTCTCGTCTGGGAGGGTTGTGACCCCCTCCCTTTTATCACGAAATCTGGAGTACCCTAGGCCTGCATGACATCCTCGATCCTCAGCCTGGGATAATCTGGAGGCCACCCATGTGGGGCTGGAGCAGGTGGGGTCGGAGGGTCGCGTCGCATCGACGATGCATCGCCGATGCATCGGCGATGTCAGCAAGGAGAAGATCGGGCTCCGGATGGCGCCGCATCGCCGATGCATAGGCGATGAGGCGCCATCCAACGACCCAAGAAAGTCCTCGGCGACAGCAAAACCGAATACCGACCAAATCGACAGCGAAATCGGAGCCGACCGACGCCGACAGGCCGCCAGCAGACCAGAAGGGGCGCAACCACGCAGCAACGACACGACAATCGACCGAATCGAACCGACCGAGCGCAACCGACTGCGACGCATCGGAACCGACTGCACCGCGGGTACCATTGCGAGCCCATCGAAGGAGGTCTCCTCCTTCCCCAATTCCAACACACCCTGCTCAACGCGCCTAGGTCGAACAGCGTCCCGGCGTGGCGGTACAACTCCTCCAGGTCCTCCTGCTTCTCTATCTCCAACCCAGGGGGGGCGCGGCGGTTCTTGGACCACCAGTCGGGGAAATTCTCCAGGACCTGAGCCACGACATCCGTTCTCCTCATTGTGCTTCTCTCCTCCTTCTTCTCCTCCTCCTCCTCCTCCTCCTCCTCCTCCCTCCTCCTCCTCCTCCTCCTCCTCCTCCTCCTCCTCCTCCTCCTCCTCCTCCCCCTCCTCCGCCTCCTCCTCCGCCTCCTCCTCCTCTTCCTCCTCCTCCACCCCCTCGTCGCTCGTTTCGATCGCTGTTGAGTCCCATCAGCCCTTTTTAGGGCGTAGGAGGTCTAGGGTGTGTTACTCTTCCACCCCCTCCTTCCTCTTCGGGGAGGGGGTTGTCACTGTTCCCTATTAGTAACACCCCCTCCCATGGGCGACTGGTAGCCAACCAGGAACCACGAGGGCACCCCCCCACCATCCCTTACAAAAAACCGTGCAAAACACACCCTGCCTCCAAATTCGGAGCATGCGCAGCCAACCCGATGCGACCTCACCCCACCGTCCCTGTCAAAAACAATACAGAGTACACTTGGCGGCGGCGGCTGCGGCGGCTGCGGCGGCTGCGGCGGCGGCGGCTGCGGCGGCTGCGGCGGCGGCGGCGGCGGACGCGGCGGCGGCGGCGGCGGCGGCGGATTGGCCCCCAGTAGCTGCCCATCCAAAGACGACTGCTGAATATGCTGAGGCGCGGGCCAGACTCGGGTGCTACGTATGTGTTGGGAGCGCGGTTGGGAGTGAGCGAGACGGCTTGCGGGCAGGGCGGGAGTCTTGACCCCTCCCCCTACCCCGTCCCCTGGACCTGGACAGGGCGTTTCGCGAGCGGTCAAAGCGTCCAAAACTGCCTCGGCGAGGAAGCCAAAATCATTGGTTGTACTTCGGTTTGGGCTCCATTTGGGCCTCTTGGGGGGCGGCGCAAATTAAGGAACGCTCCTTCTTTGATCGATCTCCTCCGAGATGGCCCCACGAGCGCTCCCAAGGCCCCCAAGGGTGCCCCAAGAGGGCCCCAAGAGGTGGCCAGGAGGCCCCAAGAGGCCCCCAAGAGGCGCCCAGGATGCCCCCAAGAGGCCCCCAAGAGACCCCCAAAAGGCCCCAAGAGGCCCCCCAGAGGCACCCAAGACGCTCCAAGAGGCCTCGGCGACAATGCCAAAATCATTGATTTTACTAGGCGCTGCTTAAGATGACTCCAGGAGCGCCTGGGAGAGCCCAGAATGACCTGCAAAATGGTTCAAGATATCCCAAGATGCCTCAATATGGCTCCCACGATGCTCCAAGAGGCCCCAAGACCACTCCAAGACGGCTCCAAGTGGCCAGAGAGCTCCCCCAGGAGGCCCCGAAGAGGCTAAACTCCTTCCAGAACCTTGGCAAAGAGGCTTCAATATGGCTCCAGTCTGGCCCAAGAGGGTTCCAAGAGCGCTCCCAAGGCTCCCAAGAGCGTCCCAAGAGGGCCTCAAGAAACGCCCAGCCGGCCCCAAGAGGCCTCCAGGCTCCCAAGTGACCCCCAAGAGGCCCCCAAGAGACCTCCAAAAAGCCCCAAGAAGCTCTCCGAGGCACCCAAGACGCTTTAAGAGGCGTCCAGGACCGCCGAAAGGCCCCCAAGACGAGGCCTCCACTGGGGGACCCTTCATCTGTGTGCTGCCCATTTGCATGATCGAGGCGATTCCTCTGGGCATCGTTTCTGACTGGGCTGGTGGGGTTATTTTTTTTGGTCAGTGGCCACCAGACAAGGGTCAGGCGGCGAAGGCAAGCTGATGGGGTTACTTTTCGATCTGCGGCCCAAAGGACGGTTCCAGAGGGCGGGTCAATCGGGCTGTCTGGGGCACAGAACCAAATAATTTGCGAATCCAGCCGTCAGTGTCGACAGCCGGCCGCACCTGCAAGCATGCCGAACGGAATTCTAGGAGACGCATCTTAGCGTCGACAGGTGGGAACGGGCGTGGGAAGAGTGCGAGGTCGCCGAAACGGCGCCAGCTCAACACAACGGAGCAAGCAGGAGAACCGCCAGCGGGCCAAAAGCAACGCCGGAAGGCACAGGCGTCCACGAGAGCATGCAAGATAATTGCCAGCGGGCCAAAAAACAACGCCAGAATGCACACGCGAGGAACAAAGGGAACTTCATTAAGCCGCACAAAAACGGCACCCAGTGACAGCGGGGCGTCGCACAGTGGCGCCAGCACCCGACAGACCGGGAGACGAAGGGGCAAAGCGGGCAACTGCCAACCAAGAAACCCTCACTCACGGAGCACCTGAATGCTCGATGTTGGCATCTCGCACCCTGTGCGTGTGGTAGCCGAAGGGCGCCTGCCCAGTGGGGGGGAAACGCCACTGGGCAAGGGGACCAGTCGCCGGAGATGCGTCGAGTGGAGCGAATGGGGTGGGCCTTAGGCCGGCGACCCCAGCCATCCAAAGTGCGTGCCCTGGCAAGCAAAACGGGCCCATGTCCGAGAACGGGGCCAGAGCGTGCCGTGGGCAAGAAACGGCCAGTGCCGCACGGGCAGGACCCACGAGTCACTGTGGGATCCATACGCAGTGCTGTGAGAGGTACACCTCGCCCCCAGGAGGTGACGCAAGGGTATTAAGGCCGGAGCCTGTCACTGCGGTGAAACGAGTCCCTGTCGAAAAGGAACCACCCCGACGGCAGTGGCCCGTGGGGGCCCCTGGCGGTGCGGAGCTCACCTTGTGAACGTACACGTCGTCGGCCCGCCACAGCAGTCGTCGTGAGAGAGGGGGGGCGCAGCCGATAGCCGCAAGTCAGATGAATACCAGGAGGGGGGAGAGCCATGAGGCGACACATACCGTCGAGGACCCAACATGGCGTAGTCGGAAAGTGGTCGGCGTAGGGCGCCTGCCTGGTGGGGGGGAGACGCCACCAGGCAAGGCCGCCAGTCGACGTTTTTTTTTTTTCTTTCCCCCCGGCCCCCAGGGATGGCCCGAAGAGGCCTTCCAAGGCCACCCCCTTGCTCCCAAAGACGAACCCACCTTCTTAACCTACGTTCTTCGCCCTTCCGACGCCCCACCTTCTTAACCCACCTCCTTGAACCACCTTCTTGAACGCCTTCTTAAGCCACACCCGCACCCACCGCTCCCTGAGCAGCGCCAGGTCCGCTGCCACGGTTTGATTGCAGCACTGTGGCTCAACACCCGTGTCTCCCTGAGCCGCGTCAGGGGTCGCCTTCGCTGCTCGCCTTTCTCGCATGCCGTGATCGAGATGCTGTAGCTGGTGCAGGTGGGTCTCACCTTCGCCACACGCATCCCGTTGGGTTCAGCTCCGCCACCCAGAGCTCCCTGAGGAGCGCCGGAGCTCGCAGCCTCTGCCCGCCCTTCTCGCACGTGTTGGTCGACGCGTTGTAGCGGATGAGCGTTGGGCTCGCCTTCGCCACCCACAGCTCCCTGACCAGCGCCAGAACCAGCTGCCACCGGTCGTCCTTCTCGCAGCTGCTCCCCGCGCCCATCTGCATGAGCAGCACCAGGGTCTGCTGCCACTGTCCGCCCACCCGTCGTGCCGCCACTGCCGTCCCTCCCCTCCGAACCGCCAGTGCCATCCCTGCTCGCTCCTACCGCTGCCACTGTCTGCCCTCCAGCCGTGCTGCCACTTCCGTCCCTCCTCACCGAGGCGCCACTGCTGCCCCTCCTCCCCGAGCCGCCACTGCCCTCCGTCCTGCCCTCCTCCTCCCCCCACGCTAGTCCTCCCACCGTGCTGCCACTGCCGTCGCTCACTGATCTGCGGCGTCCCACCTTCTTATCCCACCTCTTAACCACTTGTCTGCCCACATCCTTGAATCCCAACCTTCTCAATCCACATCCATGCCTCTTGCACCGTTCTCGCACGCGCAACGCCGCAGCAAGTCCACGACACACCTCTCGCTGATCAGCGACCAGGACAAATGCCACTGCACGCTCTTCTCGCACGCGCTGATGATGGCGCTGTAGTGCATGATGTCGGGCTCCAACTTCGGCTCCGACGTCTCGCAGGGCAGCGGTGGGGCCGGCTGCCACTGCCAGCACTTCTCGCAATCGCTGATCGGGGCGCTGTGGCTGACCATTTCCGGCTCCAGCTTCACAACCCACAGCTCTCTGTGCAGCGGTAGGGACGGCTGCCCCGTGTTGTGGCTCCTGATGTCGGGCTCCAGCTTCGCCACCCGCCTCTCGCGGAGCAGCGATAGGGGCCCGCTGCCACTGCTCGCCCGTCTCGCACGCTGGTGCTGCTGGAGTGGGTCGCTGGTAGGTCTGTTTTTTCCGTAAGCCACGGGCGACCTTCTCGATCAGGGAAAAATAATACTTCGACACGATGGGAAGCGCAAAGCCGAGGCGCTGCCTTGGCCCACGAGCCCAACAACACCTGCGCTCCGCGCAGAAAGTGCTCGGCACAAGTCTGCCGAGGAGTGCTCGGAACAGACATTGAAATAAGAGATGCCCATGTAATTGTCTTAGCTGCTCCGATACGAAGCACGCAACACGTAGCGTATTGAAACGGAGGTCAACATGTAGACTGAAAACGTACGCATGACGCGATACTTGCGCCAAAACGTGGGCCAATACGCTGAAACAGCACGAAACGTATTGACACTGACGTTTAAAGCATGGTACGCTGATGGGGTTACGCGAAGCGCCTAGAATTGCTAAACTTGCTTATGGGTGTCACTGCGAAGTCGATACTGGATTTGCTCCCACTCACCGCGAGTGGACATATTGCGCCGGTGTGTAAGCATTTCAGAGTTTGCTTGACAGGAATTTGCGAATTAGCCCAGGATAGGATGCTGTGCCGCAAGGTTGCCGAGATTGCTGTCCAGGGACTAGAGAAATTGTGCGGTCGCCTGGCAACGAACTAGGAAGCTGAATGGCGCCTCTTGGCCCGTCTTGGGGCGGTCTTGTGGGCCTCTTGGGCCGTCTGCGATTGTCTGAAACTCGAAAAGTGGAGGACCCCCAAAACATTGAAGAACACAAAAGACAGGAACAACTTGTGGCTCCCGGGGCACTCGACTGGGGCCTCGGGCGCCCACTGAAGCCTGCCGGAGGCCGTTCTGGCGCAGCCTGAAGCCTTCGGGGGCCGTCCACAAGACATCTTCGGCGCTCTCGGGGTGTGATGGACTGGTTCGGTATACTATCGTGCAATATTTGTTGGCCATCTGTGCGCCCACGGGGCCACTGTGGAGGCCACGAGGGCGCTCGTTGGACCCCTGGACCTCCCATGCAATGCTGGGGCCGCGGTTTCTGGCCCACTCCTGGCCTGCTCCGAGGTTGGATCCGGCTGGAAAAAGGCCGCGAAAGGATGAGGTCTCGGGCTCCAGACGTGACTTCGTGCGCTGCTGGAACTTGTTCGCAACGTGGTATCCCATGCCATGGTACTCGGGTCACCGTGGGGTTTGCGAAGCGGATACAGGGGCCACAAATGGATGCGAGGGTTGGGTACATCTGGCCTGACAGAGACGGTTGGGGAGGTGTAGGGCGAGGATGGCGTCCTGTTGCGATTGGCTCAGGATGGTCTCTGGGGCATTTGGAGTACGATCGGCTCAACGTGTCGCGGCGGCCACCCTGGCGACACGCTATGCCGTGCACAGCTGGTCGTGATGGCCGTCGTCATCATAATCCTCATCATCATGTTCGTCATCGTCATTGCCATCGTCATCGTCAGCGTCATCGTCAGTTTACGTGCTCAGGAGAAGCGTTTCTGGAGCACATTAAATGGGGGCTGGCGGGCATGCCCATCATCATAATCATCATTAGCATCATCATCATCATCATCCTCATCATCATCATCATCATCATCAGCAGCATCAGCATCAGCATCAGCATCAGCATCATCATCATCATCAGCATCATCATCATCCTCATCATCACCACCAGCCTCATCATCACCATCATCATCATTACCATCACCATCACCAACACCATCACCGTCATCATCATTATACCCGTTTCCATTGTTCATGTTGAATAACTCCTCCCTGTCGCACCCAGAGGCCCATCGGAAGGACATGTCGGGCGGTTCGTCGGAAACTTCCTTACCATTTATGAACCCGAAGCGTGACAACGAGCAACAAGATGGAGGGCGGGTGTTTTTCAAAGTGTGGCTATCCCTTTCGCGCCGCGCTCATTCTTTTTTGCTTGCGGATGAGAATCGGGGGGCTAATGTGGTTCTCGCCTAAACGCTCCCTTCATTCGGCCTACAAACTTACAAGAGTTGAACGTATTGAGGGCGGGTGGTTGTCAAAAAGCGGCTCTCGCCTCGGCGCCGCGTGCACTCGCTTCAAACCTCTGCAAGAGTTAACACATTGACGGCGGGTGGCTTTCAATATGTGGTTCTCGCCCTAGCGCCGCGCACGCTCGTCTGAAAAACCTGCAAGAGCTCAACGGGCTGAGGGCGAAAGTCGTTTTCAAAATTCGAGCGGATCAAGATTGTCAGGGCGCAACATTAACGTTGATCCGCGGTGCTGAAGTCCCAAGAATGGTGTTCTGGCACGATTAAGATGTCGTGAAAACGCAACCGTCAGGATAACTCATGGCGTTGAAGTCCTGAGAATGGTGTCTGGGCGCGCATCAGGATTTTTACACGGTTGTCTCCCAACGGGGCAACTCCCTCAGTGGAAATGAACCCTTGTAGGGGCCTGTGAAGAGGGAGCTTTGAGGGAGGGTGCATTCCAGCATCGTTGCTGAGTCTTGGGTTGCACTGTCCTCCTCCTCCTCCTTCCTCCCCATCCTCCTCTTCCTCCTCCATTCCTTTTCCTTGTGAGTAGCTCCTCCCTGTCGCACCCCGAGGCCAGTCGGAAGGGCGGACCGGGCGTTTCGCAGGCGTATTCCTGCTCACTTATGAACCTGGAGCTCAAACATTGATAACAGCGTCACAGATGGAGGGCGGGTCGATCCCAAAATGTGGCTCTCGCATTAGCGCCGCGCACATTCGTTTCAAAGATGTGCGAAAGCTTCGCGGATTGAGGACAGGTCGTTCTCAAAATGTGGCTCTCGCCTTCGAGCCGCGCACTTTATTATGAACTTCGCCTGGAGAAGAACCCAAACATATGCAATGAATACCGCAAATGTGGGTATCGTATTCCGTGGAGCTCCCTCTGGGGTAACGGAACGCTGTACTGGGCGCAAGCACCGCATGCGAGTTCCGCCACTGAGACCTTCGGTGGAGCTCCCTCTGGGGCCACGAACCGCTGTTCTGGGGGGGGGGAAACGCATGCGAGTTCCGCCACAGGGACCTTCGATTCAGCACCCTATGGGGCCAAGAAACGTGGTACTGGGCGCAGGAACCGGATGCGAGTTGCGCCACTGGGACCTCCAATGGAGCTCCTTATGGGGCCACGAAACGCTGCACTGGGCGCAAGAACCGTATGCGAGTTCCGCCAGTGGGACCGTCGGTGGAGCTCCCTATGGGGCCACGAAACGCTGTACTGGATGGGGGAGCCACGCGAAACGCTGTACTGGGCGCAGGAACCGCATGCGGACTGCGCCACTGGAACCTTCGGTGGAGCTCCAAGTGTGGAAGTGTGTAGGTCCGTGTGGGTGTATGTATAGATGTATATGTAGTATGTGTGTGTATGTATGTCTGTCTGTCTGTCTGTCTGTCTGTCTGTCTGTCTGTATGTATGTATGTATGTATGTATGTGTGTGTACGCATGCATGTATGTATATGTGCATGTTGTTTTGCACAAGCGTATACATATATATATGTACATATGTATATATATATATATATATATGCATTTGTACGCGTATGTGTACGTGAAGACTGATGCGCGAATGTTTGGATGTATGCATGCATACGTACATGTATACATACACATATTTGTATGTAAGCATGTAAGTGTATGTATATGCGTTCTCCAAATAGGCTTGCCTTATAGGAGTTCTTACTCAAGCCCTACTAATTGGTCCGTTGCCCCACCCCTAATTCCTATGCCCCCCTAATTCCTATGGCTAGTCCTATGGCTATGCCTATGCCTATGCCTTTGTCTCCCCCCTAACTCCTAAGCCTACGCATATGCCTATGCCCTTACCTATGCCTATGCCTACGCACCACCTCTGAGCGCTTCTAGCACCCCGCCCTTTTTCCAATGCCCCCCCCACTTGTTTCCAATGGCACTGGTTTGCTTGCTCTTGCGTGCTTGCTCTCGCTTGCTTGCTCTTGCTTGCCCTTGCTCGCTTGCACTTGATCGATGGTTCTTGCTTGCTTGTCATTGCTCGCTTGCGCCTGCTTGCTTCCGCTTGCTTGCTTGCGCTTGCTTGATTTTGCTCCTCCTGTCCTCCTCCCGTCCTGCTCCCGTCCTCCTTTCGTCCTCCTCCCATCCCCCTCTCGTCCTCCTCCTGTCCTCCTACTTATTTGGAGTCAGCGCAGGCTGATATATGTGTGTATGTGTATGTGTATGCGTATGCGTACGTGTATGTGCACGCGTACGTGTATGTGTATGTGTATGTGAAAGTGTACGTGTATGCGTATGTGTTTGTGTATGTTTGGATGCATGTATGTGTGTATATACGTGTGTATGTATGCATGCATGCATGCATGCATGCATGCATGTATGTATGTATGTATGTATGTATGTGTATGTATGTGTGTATGCATGTATGTATGTATGTATGTATGTATGTATGTATGTATGCATGTATGTAAGTATGTAGGTAGGTAGGTAGGTAGGTAGGTAGGTAGGTAGGTAGGTAGGTAGGTAGGTAGGTAGGTAGGTATATATGCGCGTGTGTATGTATGTATTTCGGTGTATGTATAGATATGTATGTAGGCATGTGTGCATGTATGTTGGTATGTATGCATGTCGGAATGTGAGCGAGGAGGGGGAGGAGACGGAGGGGGGTGAAGAGAGGGGGAGAGGATGAGCGAGGATAAAGCAGGGCGGATGAGGAGGAGACGGGGAAGGAGGAGCATCAGGGCGAAGAGCCGCAGGAGGAGCACCAGGGCGGAGAGCACTGTCTAATACCAGTGACCTCCGGATGATCCCGCACCATACACTCTTCCTTATCCTCCACCCATCAGCTTGCAACGAGATGCCACGCAACGCAATGCGATTGCAATTCAAAGCAGCTGCAAAGCAATACGACGCAGAGCTTTGCAAACCAATGCAACGCAACGCAAACCCATGCAAAACAATGCAAAGCCATGCAAAGCCATGCAAAGCAACGCAAAGCAATGCGATGCAAATCATCGCAAAGCAGAGCAATGCAGAGCAACGCAGAGCAATGCGAAACAATGCAAAGCAATGCGGCGACGAGGCTGCGGACGGCGACGACGCGGCGACGGGGCGGCGACGGCAACCACAGGGCGGCGGGCCCCGGACGACGGGCGGCAACGAGGCGGCGACGGACGGTGGCGACGGCGACGAAATAGCCACAAGACCGCCACAGGCCCAAACCACGGGCGGCAACGAAGCGGCGACGGAGCGGCGACAACGACGACATCGCGGCCGGACCGCCAGACGGGCCCCGTTCCTTATGCCAGACATATCGGAATCCCTGCTTGCAAGCACCTTTGGGATGTGTTGAAACATATCCTAACGATCCTGTGGTGCTGGGTCCTCGTTTTGAAGCGACAGCGCCCCGCGTCACTCATTCCTCCTACTGTCTCATCCTCTTCCTCCGCCTCCTCCCATGCCTGCCATCCCTGCCTCTGCCCTCCGCATGTCTCTGCTTCGGCACACCCCACACACGCTTCGTGGTCCCATAGGGAACACCAGAGGCC